ACTAACCGACGCGAACCTTCAAGTATTAGATTAAGCTAATTCAAGAATCTGCCCTTCAACCCCTTTCAATCACCGCCCGATTCGGCAAACGACATGCCGTTCTGACAGTTTCGCGATCTTCTGGGTGCTTGACTTTCATCTCCTGGAATTCGTAAACAACAGGACAAGTAGGAGCCTCGAGTCTGGAATTGATGACTTCAGCTTTTCATGTAGAATGCACAAGGTCGCCTGGAACTGACCTCGGCTACTTTTGCCCTGGCGTTCCAAGGCCGCTTCAGCCCCAAACCGGTGCAGCCTTCCGCGAGATCCTAAACTCCCCGAAGCCCTAAACAGTCCTGGGAGATGCATCGCCCAGGCGTGGCGAAGAGTCTGCTACGTATGTTTATTTGGTCAAACGGTCGTTTGAGCCAAATGCTGCAAGGATGAGCTCGCCCCCATGCCGGAGACGCAATATAATTTAGGAACAGTCTTGGGCAGGGTATGCAGGGTTCAAGATTTGAGAAATTCAGAAAACGAAGTACTTGTTATAAGAAGAAGCACATTATGGAGGGACCAGATCTCTGCTAAGTCCACACTCGAGTCCGCCAAAGCCAGCAAAAAAACACCGAAAGCCCAGACCGTGGAGGCTCGAGAAAACCCTGAACCAATCCGGTAATCCTGTAACCGTAACCTTTCACTGAGAAGTATTGCAACATTCATGCAGGGTTCCAGAACTGTCACGGCTTGAAGGGCCATACTTACTCATGACCCAAGAATTACAGGGGGCTGGCGGGAAGCGGTCACCTATCGTGGGGGCTTACGGGATTGCCGGTCTGATTCGGACGGCTGGCTGCTTTCCGCTCAATTTCTCATTATAACATTGTTGAAACGAGAGAAACTTGTGACACGAAACCACATTCCGCGTGACATGTTTACTGTATGTTTGATTTTCCTTCACGACGACGAAGATCTCCAGGAGCCCAAGCATGACTCTATGTTCGGGCAACGCTCCAATGCCTCAAAGGCTTGGACCGGAGTTCGGAACCTGACCAACCGTACGGCTTACACGGTCATCCATACTGAAGATTGCGTTTTGCGGTTATACATTCATCCAAACGACCCCAGAAGCAATCCCTCTTGGTGACACACGCAAGTGTCCGCAGAGATGTAACGGGCGCGGGCCTCAGACATGAACGAGACAATGCAAGCTGGCACCGCACTATGGTTGTCTTTGCACGAGTCGCTAGACAGGGTATGTGATATGCCTCACCAGTGACTTTTAATGCACGATAGGCAACTGCAAGGAACCGAGGGGAGACACTTCGGCATGCCTAGCGAGCTGTTGACAGGAAGTTCGGCGACCATCACTCTGGCAAAATGCCACAACAGAAAGGCCCTCTGCACGGCACAATTACCAATTACATGCATTCATTGAACACCCTCAACGGCACTGTTGTTTTTATGATTGACCTGGTTGTGATGCTGCAGCCTGCATCATGACGATGACGATGAGCATGGTGATGATGCTGGTGTTGCTGCTGAGGAAACGTTGTCGAAAACGAAGATGAAGCAGATGATGATGCTCACGACGACGACGATGAAGATGATGATGACGATGATAGCGACGATGATAATTGCGATAGTGGCGGTGATGATGATGGTGGTGATGAGCATGATGATGATGATGATGATGATGACGACTATGGCGATGATGATGACGATGATGAAGATGGTGATGATGAAGATGGTGATGATGAAGATGGTGATGCTTTTCAAACCTGAATGAGGCTGGAGGCTTCGGAGAGCTGACACCTATCCACACAGCATAGCAGCATGCGATTACATGCTATTAGATTTATTTCCAATGGCTGACTGGGCCCGTCCACGTGTCACTTGCCGCCCGGATCTACTAAAAGCTATTTTGAACAAACCTGGCTTGACATGACATGTGTCGGTCTCAACTCATGTTGCTCCTCTAAACATCAAGCCTGCTAACTCATGAAAACAAGTTTCGTCTACGCGTGTCATTCAAACGGTCGTGCAAGCCACGTGGTTCATAGTTCTGGGTGTGGCATGGCCGACTCAGGCGACCATCAGTGCTCTTTTGCATCGCTCAGCTGCTTTTGAATGTAACGAAATTCTCACCGGACGCCTCTCCTATAATTAATTACGGGACTTTGGTTGTGGAAGTAAACAAACTCATCTCATGAGGACTTGTCCGGGCGGCCTGGGCGTCGTGCTTGACTGATGTTCGTCCAAAAAAACACTGTGACTCTTCCAACGATGCCAAGGGCAGGGAAGTGACCTTGTTCAGCGATCGTACACTTTGAACTTCGACAACTTCAACTGCCGGACCGTGTTCAGGGCACAAAACCAAAGGAGTCCGAGATGTGAACACGACATGAAAAGAGTCAGGCCGACTGTCGATCCTGGTAGCAGCCTGGCTGTTAATGTCTTAGTCATTTGTGTCTTGTTGCATGACAACCTGGGGGGCATCCTTTCACAGAGTCGCCTGACCAGATTCGATCCGGATGAAAGAAGAAAAGCTGGCCCCTCGCACCCAGCTTGTAGTACTCTCGCGAAGATCCTCAACTTTACGCGATGGACTGGGCTCTCCTGTTAGGTGAACGTGCCGTCCTGACATGTCTTGGGCCTTGCCCGTGGTTTTATGCTTCGAATGCCATGATGTTGCCGAGCTCTTGTTGCAGCAAGTTGCTTCGAAACCTGTACGGGTGGTGGCTGGCCTTTTGTATTTTGTACCTGCTACAACCAGGGATGTCGTCCCCAACTGGAATCAGGGAATCAGGAGACAAGTGCGCAACCCCAGAATACCACTCCCCAATGAACTGTGTAAGAACTGAGGGGAGTCTAGCCTGGTCGATCACGGCATTGTAATAACTGCTTAAGCAGCATGGAACTGCCCAAATGTCCGAGCCAAGGACGAGGAAAATCGGACGCCCCATCACATCCTCCAGGGCATCTTACACTTCGAACCATAGTTCAAAACACCACTCCGAGGCATCATCTGTTTAGTGCGTCTCAGGAGTTTGAGTTTCGGACCTTACTATCTGGCTGCGGCCCTTAACCCCCAAAGCTCCAAACATATCAAAATTCGGCTCTTGGCCACACGCAGCAGCACTCGTTTGGCTATGTACTTGCTTGTTTTCATGCGCATATTTAACCCTGAGCCCGACAACCCTCGCCAAAATCCAAAACCCCAAACCCTCAAAACGCTTACAGTAAAACTCTAAGCACTCCAGAAGACCCTAGACTCCTCAAAACCCCAACGCCCCAAAACTAGAGCCCAAAACCAGCACGTGCACCTCAAACGGGGCGATGGCAAAGCCCAGACTCAGCCAAGAGAGGTCAGGAGGCACGCCTGTCTAGGGTTTCGGCGCTCACACTCGGACACTCCAGGCGAGGCATGTGTCTAGGGTTTTGGCTCTCACACTCTAAGGTTTGGGGTTTGGGGCTTCTGGTTTAAAGATTTGAGGTTCAGGTCTGATTTCTGTTTTGCCTTTCTTTTGAGGTTAACCGGATCGCCTATGAAGCAGCGAGGTGGATGTATAGTGTAGTTGTGTAATGCTCGGATGTCAATGTCTTCCCGTTTCTTTTCCTAACGTCCCGCCGGTCCCGGCCATGCTGATATCTGATAACTGTACTCAAGAACGGCATCTGCATCTGCCAAGAGTTGGTCTCATCTCGAGAAATACTTAAGAGCACACTCGGACATGTCTTACATGAGCGACCATCTCGTACAAAATGTCTTGCATCACATCTCGGATAGTGGAGTCTGCACTAAGACGTGCAGGCCAGTCTAAAACAAGTTGCTCAGTGCATCCCGACATAGCAAGAAGACCTGCCCACCCGAGAAACATCTCTGCAGGCAGGTGAAATCCCACTGCATGTGGTCAGGGGTGCACTGACAGATGCAGCACACTCGCTTGACCAAACCCCGCAACAGCGACCCCAGGCGCGCGCAAGTTGGCGCCATTGCTGTTGGTCATGTACTACCTCAATGGCAGCCCTGGTGATTCAGGAACCTGTGCACTTGCCGCGCTCCTGTTCGTGCTCGGCATGGGGATAGCTGCCACACTTCTCTCCACGACACGGCTTCTCTCGAAAGACTGTTTTCCCTACGGAATGCGAACATATGCCCAATCAAGGCCAATGCTGCACGAGTGCGAGGTGATCTCAATTTTTGCCGTACGATGATGTTACCCCCAGCTTGCACGCACGTCTGAGGTCACAAAGCTGATTCACATGCCACCCGCAGGAATGAGGGCAGAGCTGCAGCAACCACTGGTGCACCGTAATCCCTTGCATTCTGCGTCGGTGTAGCACGATACAACTAAGCATTGGAGAAACTGGAGCTGCTGCTCAATCTTGGCATGGGGGTGACAAGGGCTTGTTGGAGAAACTGGCTGAGACGACACGCCGACACAACTCCATCGCAAACTTGAGCTCAAGATCATCTTGCATCGACAAGAGCAAGCCAAGGAAAATGCACTTATATCCGCACTTAGCCTTTAGCAAGACCTCAGGCAGAGGGGCCCCTGGAGGCCATCTCAAGACTTTGGATTCGCAGGCCCAATTTCGCAAGCACTCGCACAACTTCTTCAAACAACCTGGCAGTTTGAGCAGCACGCGTCAACAAAAAGTTGGCACCAGACAAGCAACACTCCAAACTTGAAGAAATAAGTTTCCCGTGCTCCATCCATGCATGCTTCAGTCTGTTAGCCCGGATACGGTTAAAGATCAGGGGGAGTGGCATCCACCCTGAATGCACCCTCCCTCCCTGGAGATTTTTCCCAAGTGTGCGAATACATCTGATGCATCACGTGATCCATTCAGCCAATGCTGACAGCGACTTCGGGCTTGTAGAAACGACAGAACTTGTCACGAAATCCTTCCCACGACAACGAATCGTCGGATGCAGACATGTCCACCCTGACCGCGACAACGATGGCTGTAAAAAACTTACCGCATGCCCATCAGCTTGGTGATCCAAAAGGCTTCTGCTTGTTGGCTGGAGGGCATCTCGCAGGAGCAGGGCCACGTTTGCATCACTCTTCGAGCTATGTAGTGCTATGTGACGACCTCGGCGAGTTTGGGGATGAGCATCGCCAGGCCCTTATGCGAATCACCACGCAGGCATGGGCGATGCGCAGACGCTCGTAATGAGCTGCAGTCCCGCGTGCGCGGTGGCAAGTCGCTTCACAACATCGTCTGGCACACCTGTGGGACCACTTGCTTTCCCGAGGAATGCCACTATTTGCTGCAAGACTTCACTCTGACTCGGCATGTTTGACTGGCCTGCATCCGGACATCGATCCAGTAGGACAGGCAGGCTGAGTCATATGGAGCACTGAACTTGTCTCGAAAGTAAAACTTCACATGATTCACATGCACCACCGCACTCGACAACGGGGCGGGGATGCCACCCTAGGCAAAGAGCGCTGCCCTGCCTTCCGACAACCCGAGCTTGCTCGAAGCCACAGATGGTATCTTCAATCTGCTCTGGCTATTTGCGGGCCCCGAAAACCTTCACGGAAAGATGTTTTCGAAGGGGCACTCATTCACGAGAGACTCTGCTTGGCACAGCGCTCGCACGGCAAGAGGATCAACATAGTTGAGAGACCCTCCACCGACAAGAATATCGGCGAGCGAGATGACCAACAGTGTCAAACAAAGCTGTGCCGCTAACTTCTGAGATGACGGTCTCAAGCGACCACTGATCCCTCACAAGCGTTTAGGGTTTGCGGTTCAATGTTTATCTTGGTTTCGGGAACATAATAAGAGATTAGGAACAGCGCTCCTCCCTGTATCATCTTGAAAGATGCTGTACACTAAGACATGCTGAAGATGTACACAAACTTTGGGCGACTTACACTTGCATAAACCTGAATATCAAATTGGATGGTGGGGCTGTGCCGATTCATGCTGGCAAAGGCTTTGGTATTGAGCCCTGGTGGGCGACGGTGCGGCAAGAATTCTGATTTGTGGTTTATCCCGCCCTCCGCTTTGCTTCTGCCCAACCCACTCTTCAGAGACTTGCGTCGCTCAAACTAGCGGAGGGGTTGATGGCAAGGCGTGCGAGTCCGTGCGAGTCAATCAGAAGAGCACGAATGCCGAAATAAAAGCAGTAACGACCCGATCATTGCTATGATTTTTGCTATGATGATCACGTCAGGGTTTGGACTGCGAATTGGCGGCGCTGCTGCAGGCACCATCACATCTCACAACAGTCCTGGTAAAGTAGCCTTCTAGGTCATGGCATGGCTGGTGTTGCATGGCGAGGTGTGGGCTCCTGGCATGCATGGCATGCCTTATGCTCCAGAAGGCTTCCGGACTTGTCAATTCCAAGCCCCACGCTGCACTGAGAACCCGGATTGTTAGCTGTCTACAGAAAAAGTATTGGCGTGGCGTCCCAAGAAGATTTCTCAGGAGACATGGCTCCAAGGAATGACTAGCCCAACGTGGAGGTAGACTGTATATTCCTTATACAAGCCATGGCAAACCGAAAGTCTCAGAATGGCCAGATGCAGCCTCCACGAATGCTCTGTCGCCACGCCACGTACTTCCGGACGACCCTCGGGCGTTCGGGATTCTGCGAGGGTGGTTTGGCCCCAGTAGCCTCCGCAATGCCTAACTCGATTTCATACCCTGCGAAGAGGCACAACTGGTCGTGAATTGACCTTACATTATTTTGCGGTATAGCATGCTGTATAATTATTCAACCGTATACCTGTGCAATAAGTTCCATAAGACTGCATAGGTATTCAACATCATATGCCATACCTTATATACTGCAAACTGAATAGTAAACTTGTTAGGTGTGATGTACATTATATATTATGCACTGTATATTGTAAGCTAACTGCGTTTTGTAGATTCGTAGATGATATGCTACATCTCGTACTAGTAGCATATGCTAGGTCAGGTCACTTTGTAGTACATTGCAGTATGTAAAATGTGTTAGTTGGTACCCATTGTAAAATGAGATGACATGTATGTACTAAAAAGAGCAGCATAATTCGAACAATATTCTAAGTCCTGATTATTGCGTAATACGACTTCCAAACTCAATATTGTAGAGTGAATCCTATACAACATTGTCTACTCTATCATGGTATTTAATGTAAGTTATATATGCTGTCGTCTAATCTTCTACACGATGTGTCACAATTTCCTTTGTATATAAAGAAGTCTTGCTAGAGTGTATATATATATATAGCGTAAAATTATTGTATATTCTGTTTGCACGTGTTACTACGTCAGGCTTATTGGGGTCTTCTATATTCTATTCTACTGTTGAAGATTATTTCATGCGTGTATGCCTTTCTTCTGTGAGACCATAACTCTTACCTTGGATGTTTGTCGCTTCTGTTATGTCCTGACTGGGCACTACACATTGTGCTGCTATCTAGTTTATTTATGTTTGTTTGACAGTATGTCATACTGTATTTCCCAATGTGGTATATTGTGATACAGTTCCTCGCAATGCCACTTAGTATACTGTCAACTACAAAGAACATTCTGCCAGCGTACATCATGTTCTCTTGTCCCGCCCCTTATAATATGACTTTGCCTTCCACGTTTTACTGAATCATCTCATGCTGTATCTCTGTAAACTATCTTAAACCAAACTACATAATATCATGTCTCGTCAAATCAAATAATCATACGAAATGTTGCATAAATGTTTTTTGGGTAGGCTATGCCCATTTCCCAACCTTGTTAACGGTTTAACGTGTTGTACCATGTTTCCACTCATAGTGTATTCTACGTGAAAAATCTCTATTACAAGATATCAGGCAATTTTGTGTATCATATGTCTGTAACTGGTGTCTTACAGTTCTTACATGTACTGCACTTTACAATGTGCTGCGCACTCTCTCTCTCTCTCTCTATATATATGTATATGTATATACACAATAGATACTCCACTCTGTCCGTATACAGTGTATACTACCATATACCAAATACCACATACCATACAAAGCACACGCTGTATAGTTGGTTTAGTTGCTGAAATCTGTATACTGCCTCTAAGAATGCTATCTTATAGTTCGTAGTGTTGCTGTATTTTGCTCTCTCGCACTCCAGTATACTTTGTAGCATATACGATGTACGACAAATGAAAGACGGCATGCCACCTAATATAAACTGTACACTATAGACTGTGCACTTTGTACTACCTACGCACACCGTGTAGTGCATCCTACTGCACATGTCTTTATACGGCGGCAACACTAGTAACAGGCATCTAGAACAGTGCAGCGCAGACATGTCACTGAACATCGCAATTACAACGTCTTCATTCTCTGAAACATAAACCCACTGCCATTGAACACCAAGGGGCTCGGTGGTCTTGCCGAGGTCGAAGTCTGCGGCTATGAGCTGACGTGACATGAACACCTCAAGGCTTACAGATTTATGATCTTGGATGTTTGGAGGACATGTCTGGGCCTCGAAACACAGCTTCTCAAGCATGCAAGCAAGCATTTTCATCGCCAGTTGAATTTACCGAGCGTCACAAACCCAAGAAGCCCTTCCATTGGCCATCACACGCAAGACGCAAACCCTGAACATGCCGGAACCCCAAACCACGCGGGTTCCAAAACTTTCCAAGCGCCTGAAGTCTGAACAGCGACCAGGTCGCATCGTCGAGAGGCTCGAAGATCCTCCCGTCCTCTTGTAGCTCGGCCTCCACTTCGGAAAAATTATTCTGCTGCATGGGGTCTGCTTCGAAGAGGGGGGAGTTGTCCTTAGAGTTTCGGCAGGCCCTACTTCGAAACACCCTTAACCCCAAACTGTCAAGAGATTTGGGTTCCAACCTTTTTATACCTGTTTCGGAGAGCGAGTTCAACAAGTGCTCGGGTAATCAAACCTCAATCCTTAGCTGGCTCCTAGGCGAGACTTGGGTCCGAAAAGCCGCGCGATGGTAAACAGAAGTTGCACCTGGTCTTTTCGTGATGGTGCTTTAGGATAGCCAGGGGAAGTACCGGAGATTCATTTTTTATACTGTCTTAAACTGGCTTGAACGGAGTTTATGCACATCAAGCTTCTGGATTGAGCACAAGTGACCGTGCCTCGAGATTCTCGCAGGCTGCACGCATGTGCCTGCTTGCCCTTACTTCGGGATCATCAAGGTTTAGGGCTCGGAAGTTAGGTTTTGGGGATACTCGAGCTTTCCGAATCTAATCTAAAGTTTCAGGGTCAAAAAGGCGTTTGCCTGAAGGGCTTCTTATGGGGTCAAGGTGCAGCTGGCTTGCATTGGAACGGTTTCAGCAGACCCTCTGAGCTGTTTCAAGACTCGTGCCGGGCATCCCGCCTGGGTCGGAACCAGGAGGCAGACTCTCGAGGCACGCTCTGGGTTGAAAAGGAATTTTGGGCTGTGCTGCAGGCTGCCTGCAGCTTCAAATATGTTTCAGCGCTGGTCGCTATTGCTCTCGGTCTTGATTGCCAGCCGTTATGCACGAAGAAAGAGTTACCATTGCAATGCTTCGTTCTCTATCGCCACAGTGCTGAATTCTGGGGTAGTCGAATTACACTCTGGCAGGAGCTGCAACACTCTCAAGCCGTCAAGATCCGCACCTGACAACAAAAACCATACAAAACCCAAGCCCACCTTAACCCCAATCGCCAAGTCCAGCTGCACCTCAATCGCACAGTGGCTTATCACTTGAGCCGAATTCGGCACCCCACAAACACAACCCCCGGATTTCCCGGAGGACCTGAGCGAGTCTGCCACATTCCGGGCAGGGAAGAAGTTGCTTGGCCGGGACTTTCCTGAAGCTCAGTACGGAGCTGTTTTTGCGACAAACATGACGGGTCGGTGCGACGAAGATCAGCTGCAGAACTGCCCCGGCTCTTTCAACGACCATCACTCAAAATGCTACATGTGTTATGCCAGCGGCTGGCAACGACTATTGTCTGACTGTGCGCTGTGGTAGCAGCAGTAGCAATGGTTATGGTCATGGTCATCGTCATATGGTCATGGTGGTCGCGGTAGTCCTAGCAGTAGCAGCAGGAGGTGGAGAAGGAGCTGTAGTAGAGCAGCAGTAGTAGTAGTAGTCGTCGTGGTGGTGGTGGTAGTAGTTAGTAATTAGTAGTTAGTAGTTAGTAGTTAGTAGTTCGTAGTTCGTAGTTCGTAGTTCGTAGTTCGTAGTTCGTAGTGAGTAGTGAGTAGTGAGTAGTTAGTAGTTAGTAGGTAGTAGTAGTAGTAGTAGTAGTAGTAGCAGCAGCAGCAGTAGTATTAGTAGTAGTAGTCGTAGTAGAAGTGGAAGTAGTAGTAGTGGTAGTAGTAGTGGTAGTAGTAGTGGTAGTAGTAGTGGTAGTAGTAGTGGTAGTAGTAGTGGTAGTGGTAGTAGTAGGAGTCGGAGTCGGAGTAGGAGTAGTAGTAGTAGTAGTAGTAGTAGT